AACTGATTGGGGTTCAATGTATATCCACATACTCAATGAATGTCTCAATTATAATCATTAAATTTTATCAATATTTGAAAATCATCAAAAAATATATTCAAAACAGTCCCCACGATTAAAGCACACTTCACATATGATATCCCCTCCAAAAATTCAAGATTTAGTACTTTCTAAGTATTATACATGACAACATCTTTTACAGCACTTCAATTAAATCAAACAATTCTTATTGTGCAATGTGAGATACTCACTAAGTGGATGGGCTTAAACCACTCACTGGATTCAATTCCTAATTCACAAAGTTTTCATTAAATTAAACTCAAAGCTTAAAACAACTAATTAAATACCGTCCTGTTTCCTTTATGTAAGATATTTTTAACCGAATCATTTAAAGCAATAAAGTTGGTTATTTACTTACAAGCACAACAACATTTCAGTTTTGTCACTAATTATTGCAAATAAAAAATGAATCTTTTTTCAAAGTAAATTAATAAGAGTACTTATATTTTTTCCTTTCCAATGGAATAAGGGTAAAATAGTCTAGTTATTAAAATATATGTTGATAACCTCTTGTATTTAGGGATAAAAAATATTCTAGAAGAGCTTTTATATATAGGGATAGAGGGAGTACTCTCCTAACTCCTAAGTCAAAAATTTGATAGAGTTTCCTCTATAAATTGGATCTCCTCACAAATTTAAACTCAAGATGAACAATTCTTTATCAATCAAGCAATCCAATTTAAGGTTTCAACATATAAAACATGCTAAAAACTAAAAGTTAAACTCAGCAATTTAACAATTAAGAAGAATTTCAAAACAATCTCATCATATTTCAAGGGAATTTAAATCAATTAATTCATATAAAGTAAATTTTTCTAAAACAATAAAATACTTAAAAAGAGCTTAGCAATTCACTTCCAACAACAATCACCGAAACTTTAGTTTTCTTAATTTCAAAAGTTTTCATGAACATAAATGTAAAAAAAAAATACAAGCAAAAAAAAAAAACCATTTAATCAAAACTAGCAGAGAAGCTATTGAGCCTACCTTGAGTTTGGAAGGTGAAGAGAGAATCACAGAGAAGACTTTGAAGAGGCGGAGAAGAGAGAAGAGAAGCCCAAAGAGATGGGGAGAGGTACATTGTGTGGGGGAGGAGAAGAGATGGCATGGGGTTTCATAGAAAGTGGCCAGAGACAACGTTGATTGGCACTATTAAAAAAATAATTTTTGGTGGTGACTTTTTAGGTCTACTTTTGGCGATGACAATTAGAAATTGCCACTTAAAGTAAACTTATGTCATTGCTAAAAATCGCTGTCAAAATTAAATTTTCTATGGTGACCTTTAAATGTTGTAACCAAAGGCTCCTTTTAGTGGTAACCTTTAATTATTGTAGCTAAACATAAAAAAATAATTAAAAAATTTAAAATAATTTATGTAATCTTAGCGGGGATAAACTATTACCGCCAAAAGTATTTTCATAAAAATAATTAGAAAAAAAAAATAATTTATGTAATTACTTTTAGTGATATTTTCATAAAAAAAAATTAAAAAATTAAAAATATTTTACATAATTACTTTTAGCGGTGACAAATTGTTATCGACAAAAATATTTTTATAAAAAAATAATTTATATAATTACTTTTTAATTACTTTTTAGAGGTTACAAACTGTCACCACCAAAAGTATTTTTATAAAAAAATAAGTATATAATTACTTTTCACGGTGACAAATTGTCACCACTAAAAATATTTTCATAAAAAAATTTAAAAATTTAAAAATATTTATAAATATTAATTTACATAATTACTTTTAGCGAAAAAATTTGTAGCCTCTAAAGGTATTTATATATAAAATGAGAAATAAATAATATTAGAATGTTAAAGTTATACATAAATACTTACTTACATACATATACATAAATAGCATTAGAATGTTAAAGTTGTATAAATGCTATAAGATGCAAATAGCATTGCAGAATACTTGACATAATGCACACTTAATGTTTTGTTTGGTATACACATGGTGTCTATTTGTTCGTTTGTTGAGCTCTATTTTTCACTACCATGAGGTTATTTAAATAAGAAACTCTATATTTGAAGGTTATTTAAAATATGCAACAAATAAAATAAGTGGAGAATGCTTGACGGTTTTTTGAATTATAGATGAAATTATGTATAAACTTATTAAATTTTATTTATTTTAAATTGTAAAGTTATTGAAAAGTATTCTCTCTTATCTTTAGATTGATTATGTTAAAGAAACTTTAGTGGAAGACCAAACTAATTTAGGTTGAGTCAAGACAAGATTCCTTCTATTTTGATTATGAAATATTCACTTAGATTTTTAATTTAGACTTTTTTTATTTAGCATCTATTTTTAATTTATCATATGTCTACTCATTTTCTATCTCAAAGATAATGGAGAATAATTGTTCAAAATGACTATTAACAAAATTTATATTATTAACATATTTTTTAAGATAATTGAAAATTGTAGATAAAGTTTATTTTTAATAAAAGAAGGGGCAGCATTTAACTTAAGAGAAGATAAAAGTTTAATAATTTATTTACTAATTTTTGATAAAAATATGGAAAAAAGTAAAAGATATTTAACATAAACAAATATAATACATACTTATAAATAAATTATATATTTAATTATTTTCATTTAAAAAATAAAAATAAAATTTAAAATTGGTAAAAATGTTTATAAGAAAATTATTTAATATTTAAAAATTATTTCATTCTAAGTTCATTTTCCTAAGGAAAATAATATTTTATTAAAAAATATAATATATATATATATAGAGACTCATAGAAATTATTTTAACATATTAATAAATTAAAATAAAATATAATATATGTATATATTTTTAATAATATATTATTTGATATTTGTGTATGTAGTTAAATAATATACTTAATTTTTCTTATAATAACTGTATGTGCATTTCAGTTCAACTAATAAAAAAGGAGAACTTAAAGTTTGGGAAGTGGAGGTTAAGGGCTCAAATCCTTGTTAGGGTATATTTCACAATAAATATGCGACGTAGCTTGTGGTGGCGACGTGGCATGACATGGCGAACATATGGCGGGTGATATGGCACGTGCTATACATGAGGAGGTGCACACGTGACAGGTGATGTCGCACAAGGTGTTAGTTGAAGTGGAATGAGGAGGCGTTGGCATGGCATGAAATGGCTCTTTTATTTTATTTTTTTAAAATGACTTGACTGTGACTTTTCGCCATCAAAGGGTTGTCACCAAAAGTCTGATCACTAATAGTTTTTTGCGGTGACAAACATAATCATCACCAAAAGTATACCTTTAGTGGCGACAATGGTAAAATTTTAGCGATAAAAAACTAATTATCACTGTTAAAGGTATACTTTTGTTGGTGATTATGTTTTTCATCATAAAAAACTATTAGCAATTAGACTTTTGATGGTGATTTTTTGAAGGTGAAAAGTCACCATTAAAAATTTCTAGCAATAATTTTTTGATGCCAAAAGTTAGTTTTTTCGTAGTATGGGGGAGGAGAGGGTTTTCAAGCTCTTCAGACAACGAACAACCGAGGGAGGAGAAAGGCTTTAACTATAAGGAGGAAGACAATGATTGAAAATAGGAAGCTTAAATCACATACAACATTAGTTAATGCGATTAACCAATGTCTTTTCAATTATCAACAACGGGCATCAATAAAACCACTGTTGATAATAAATAATTTTGGAATTTTTTTAATTCAATAATAGCATTCTACATTGGGTGTAGGGCACATGTTGTTGAAAGTCATATTTTTAATTAAAAAATATTTAATATATACATTCAACAGTGAGTCCCTATGCATCCGCTGTTGAAATGCTTAACAATAGCAATATATTTTCACCTGCTATTGAAAGTCCAACAGTCATGCTCCTAATTGCAGAAATGTCACCGTGCTTCTTTCAACAACATTCGCCTTTAAACCAATGTTGAAAGATATCTGTTGATAGCAGAATTGCACCAGTGACTGCGGGTCTTGTATAAACAATAAAACATTTGAATATTGATAAGTTAGCATACGTAGTTAACAAGCGAACAATTTGTTCATGAATAAGTTACAAAAATTGAAGATAGGCCTTGGTTTAATTTTTCAAGTGTTGGTATTATATAAATAACAAAGCATTCGAATATTGACATGTTAATATAAGAATTAACAAAAGTGACTATTAATATATAAATATGTCAATTACAACTTTGTAAGAAATTAGCAACAGGAGTAATCAGGTCCTTATATTTTAACTCATATTTGAGTTAGGTCAAAAGGGAATGCAGTGATATTTCATAATTATAGGGTATTTTTTGAATATTAAAAGGCTACTGGGGTGTTTAAGTGATATTTTTCCTTTCTTAATTGAAATACTTCCTTCAGTTTTTATTGTAATAATGCTTTCAATTATTTCACAAATTTTTAAAAAAATTAATTTTTTATATAATAAAAAAAAGAGATGGATTTGTATTTTTATCTTTATCTTTAAATCATAATACAATTATATTAAATACATTTAGGCTAATAAAAAATTAAAAAAAGTCATTTAATTATTATAAAATATCATACATTTTATATTAAATATTACTTTTAGCAGTGTCCTGCAACATAGGGGGTATTATATAATTTTCGATCCGGGCAATCTTAAGTGTCATTCCTAAAACCACAACAATCAGGACCCGCAAACTTAGCTTTTGGTCTTCGCGAATACAAAGTTGCGTACATAGAAGAAAGACTTCAATATGTAAGTCAGACCGTACAAACCTTTCAAGGGGCACTACAAATATCTGCCCTCTTTTAGCTCAGCTATAAACCGACTTGAGAAATTCATCCCCAGCTTTGTGTCTCGCTTTGTTACCACCATGAAGCTCTACTCGATGAAGGAGCTAATAATTATTCTGGTAAATATTCCATTGTTCCTTCCCTTCATGCTTCATTCTTCTTGTCACTCCCTTGATAGAATAACCCCAAGCCAATCCCTCAAAGACGGCGATGTTTTACTCTCCAATGGAGGAACCTTTGCCCTCGGTTTCTTCAGACCCAGCAACGATTCAAGAAATCGCTACGTTGGAATATGGTATCGTAGATCCACCAAACCAACCGTTGTGTGGGTAGCTAATAGAGAGAATCCTCTCAATGATACTTCTGGTGTTTTGTCGATTAATACCCATGGAAACATCGTTCTCGTTTACAATGATACGGATTTGAACCGAATTAGCTCCATTTGGTCTTCAAATGTTTCGATCACATCTTCTAGTCACACCTTTGCAATGCTTCAAGACACAGGAAACTTGGTCTTGATCGGAAATGAAGGTAGACCAAAGGTTCAATGGCAGAGTTTTGACTATCCCGGCGACACACTGGTTCCGTTCATGAAAATTGGGGTGGACCGGAAAACCGGGTTCAAATGGTTCCTTACCTCATGGAAATCCCCAGACGACCCAGGGTTGGGGAACGTGAGCCACATAATCGACCCCACAGGCTATCCTCAAATGTTCGTTTATAAAAATGGAGTCCCATTTTGGCGGGGCGGGTCTTGGACTGGTCAAAGATGGAGCGGTATACCTCAAATGACACCCAACTTCATCTTCAACGTCTCCTTTGTTGACGATGCCAATGAAGTTAGCACGGTGACTCGAATCGTGGACCCTTCGGTGTTCTTAAGAATGGTGCTGGACAACACTGGTCATGAGACAAGAACTATATGGCAAGCTAAGGAGAATAGATGGCTCCAAGTATGGTACGGTCCAACAGAGGACTGTGACCACTATCGCCGATGCGGGTCAAATAGTAAGTGCGACCCGCACAACGAGGACAAGTTTGAGTGTGTGTGCTTGCCCGGATTCGAACCCATGAATCCACAAGAGTGGGATATGAGGAACGGGTCAAGTGGGTGCGTGAGGAAGAAGAATGTATCCACGTGTCAAAGCGGGGAGGGATTTGTGAAGGTGCCACGTGTGAAGGTTCCCGACACGTCGAAGGCACGTGCAAACAAGAGTGAGAGTATGAGCTTCAAAGAGTGTGAGGAGAAGTGCTTGGAGGATTGTTCATGTGTAGCGTACACAAGTGTAGATGAGGTCAAACAAAGTGGGTGCTTGACGTGGCATGATAACATGGAAGACATCAGAACATACAACGATGTGGGGCAAGATTTGTATGTGCGCGTAGACGCAGATGAATTGGGTACGTACGATTCTTCTTCTTGTTTTTTTTTTTTTTTTTCCCTTCTGTTTTGTCTATTGAACAATCATCACCATTAACATTAATGAATTTCATATATTTTAAATGTTAGATTATCTTTATAAAATGTATATATTTAATAACAAAATTAATAAATATTAAACAATAATTTAGAATAAATATTTACTATAATAATATAAGTAGAAAATATCTTAAAATGAAAAATACTAACACAAAACAATGAAAAAAAATCAAAGAAATATAAGAAATATAAATTAAATATATAATGTTAATATTATTCAAAAACGTTTTTGCTAATGTAGATATAATTTTTAAAGATTAATGCATATTTTCTATTTTATAGTCAGGTATTATATTTTATAATGAATAGATTAGTATGATTGTAGTGTGTGTGTGTGTGTGTGTTTTTAGGGAAAGAGTGAGGGTGAGAGAGAGAGAGAGAGAGAGAGAGAGAGAGTAATGAAGATAAATTATTAATAATTTTTAAAAATAAAAAAATATATTCATTTGAGAAACTTTGTAATATTTTCCATTTTATAAAATTCAGTTTGGTCATCTATTGAAGAAGAAAATAAAACTGCAAAGATATGTATTTACTATGATTTTACCATGAAATTGGGTGTTTGAAAAAATTTTCGGGGCTGGTGATTTTTTCCCCTTGGCGGGAAGAAATGCGATGACATTGTTGAGAGTTGAGTTTCTAATTGACATATTCAATAGATCTTTCAATATGCATTGTTTCATAACGTATGCAAACTGACGATATATAATTTATAATGAGAAAAGCGCGTTCATGATTTGTTGAACATAAATTCAGCTTTGGTGAGTTCTTCTTTGTCTGCAGCTAAATATGAAAGAAAGCATTATGGTTCTCTTGGCAAGAAAGGGATGGTAACACTCACAGTCATTTCTATTTGTCTGATAACGTTCCTGGCGATCTCTTTTGCGTATTGGTTTGTAAAGAAAAAGAATCAAGGTGATAAGTTTTATCTCTATCAATTTTCCCCCAAAAAATGAAGCTCTTAAGTTAATACAATAATATAATCTCTACCCTGCTCTCAAACTTTAGTTTTTGAAGGTTTGTCATCTTTTAAATCTAATTAAAGTGATTAATTGGTGTCTGTAATTGGTTGTATTATGTTACAAATCATCTCTTACATATATTTCTTTTAAATTTTTTGTTTATCACAGCAAAAAGAAGGAACAACCAATATTTGTTTGATGGAGAAAATAATTCCAATTTACCTCTCTTCGATCTAAAGGACATAGTTGAGGCAACAAACAATTTCTCAGACGCTAATATGCTTGGAAAAGGTGGCTTTGGCTATGTATACAAGGTAGATGTCGTGTGTGTGTGTGTGTGTGTGTGTGTGTGTGTGTGTGTGTGTGTGTGTGTGTGTGTGTGTGAATGTCTCAAATTTCATATAAGTGATCAACGTCATTTTTAATGCCATTAGCTTATTATTTCTAGTGTGTGTGTGTAACTATCTCAAATTCCACATAAATGATCAACGTCATTTTCAATGCCATTAGCTTATTATTTCTAGTAATGATTTACTAAAACATTCATAAATTAATTGGATTTTGACATTAGGGTCTACTCAAAGATGGAATGGAAATAGCAGTAAAGAGGCTATCAAAGTATTCTGGACAAGGCATCGAAGAATTCAAAAATGAGGTTACTTTAATTGCAAAGCTCCAACATAAAAATCTTGTGAGGATCTTAGGTTGTTGCATTGATGGAGAAGAGAAAATGTTGATATATGAATATTTGCCAAACAAAAGCTTGGACTCTTTCATTTTTGGTATGTCTTCTTAATTATCACTTAAGTTTGCTACATATATAATTTATTAAATTTTCACTTTTAGAAAATGAAAGAAATGATCTAGCATCCTTTCACTTTTAATAGTTTACAACTTTTATTTAGATCAAGCTACAATTAGATTGGAGGAAAAGATTTGACATTATTTGTGGAGTTGCAAGAGGAATTTTATACCTTCATCAAGATTCAAGATTAAGAATAATTCATAGAGATTTAAAGGCCAGCAACGTCTTGTTAGATTCTGAAATGAATCCAAAAATTGCTGATTTTGGAATGGCTAGAATATTTGGTGGAGACCAAATTGAAGCAAATACAAATCGTGTTGTTGGAACCTAGTAAGTACTCAACTACAAAGCATATCATCACTATAACTTCCTAGCATTGCATGACACACAAACACACATGTGCGCACACTCGTGAGCGTCTATGCACACTCCTATAGTTTCCATTTAGTAGGAATGATTCTTTAACATATCATCAAAGTCTATATCTAAATTATGTAAATTTTGATACTAAGTTAATTTAAAATCCATTCTTCATGGTCAAATGACATTTCAACACGGGCTAGATGGCTTAGCGATTTATGCCCCCATACGAAGTCAAAATATATTCATGTGACACAATATATCTATGTAAGAAATAATAATAAAAACAATTTAGATACTTAATAGTTTAGTCTCTTTAGTTGGAATTAACTCAATATGACCATTGACACATTTCAATAATCTTTTACAGTGGTTATATGTCTCCTGAATATGTAATGGAAGGAATTTTCTCAATAAAATCAGATGCATATAGCTTTGGAGTTTTACTTTTGGAGATTATTACTAGTAGAAAGAATAGTGGTCACTATGATGATATTTCTTCTCCTTTGGTTGGGCATGTAAGTACAAATACGAACAACTCTATCAGATTTTCATATTTAATATATTGGATGAGTCTACTTTACCAACATATATAGCTTAAATTACTAAGTTAGACATATCTCAAGTTTTATATGTTCTTAATCCACTTTCTAATTACTAGATATAAAATTTCTTTTTTTAATATTCTCTCCATTATATTCTTCCAATATCTTCTTCCTCTTTTTACTTGGACTTGTACTTTTTGACTTTCAAAAGCTACATGTTGACATAATCTTTACCTTTTTTTTCCTTTTCTTTCTTTTTTGCCCCTTCATCTTTCATTTTTCTTCTTCTTTTTTTATTCTTTTGTTGGTGCTTTTGCACTTTTTTCCTTTGTTTGTGTCAAATTGCTCTTGATACCATGTTAAATTTTTATGTTTAATATGCTTGAGAATTATATACTTCATAAAGATAGCTCGAGTCACTTGGTTAGACATAACTCAAGCTTTACATTTTCTCAATTTACTTTATAATTACTAGATGCGTACGTATGTGAGACTTCTGTCTCTAATAAACTTGAGTTAAGTTTGATCTTTATTGTACGTATAATCCAACTATCTAATGTATTCAATTAATTTAGATTTGGGATCTTTGGAGAGAAAGTAGAGCTATGCAGATTGTTGATCGATCATTAATAGGTGAGTCATGCCCTGAACATGAAGTTCTGAAATGCATACAGATTGGGCTTTTATGCGTGCAAGAATATGCAACAGATAGGCCAACAATGTTTGAAGTTGTTTCCATGTTGGATAGTAGTGACTCAACTCTTCCTCCTCCAAATCAACCCACATTTCTTTTGAAGAAAACTAATTGTGATGCAAATCCATCAATAAGTGGAGGGGTTAATTCAATAAATGAGATGAGTACTACTGTGGTTGAAGCTCGCTGAAGGCCATGACTCTCATGGTAACACTCTTATATAATGCTATAATTGGTACTTTTGAAGTGAATGACTTTATGATTTATAAAACATTGTGAATGATAATGATGCATATATCTTTTACAACTGAAGTACAGTACTGAAGTCAGTAGTCACAAAGTAAACTATGGGTAAAACTGGCTAAATCATAGCCTTGAATTTAGTTGTTAATTACTGGAAAAATTGGAAATAATGTTTTCATGTAACATTTTGTTGCTTTACACACACACACACACACACACACACATGGCATAGTCCCCAAATTAAGAGTCCTCGTAATTAAGAGTTAAAGTTAGACATTACCTCAGAATTAGGCAACTGAACAAAAAAAAAAAACAACAACAACAAACATCAAAAAAGAAAAAACAAAACAAAACAAGTGTACAATTATGGAAAATATAGCCACAATTATTTGTCATGAAAGAACATTGCCACAGTTAGTTATTAAAACCATTAAAATAAAAAAATACATGTCAATGCGACAGAACCATTTTTACCTTGCCAACAATGGTTGAATGAAACAAGAATCATAAGTGGAGGTGGTATGAATTTACATCGATTCTACAAGGCTTTTTATATCGCTTATGGAATGGACGAAAGTAATTTTACTTACGTCAGTTTGAATTTCGACGTAGATATATTGAATTTTCTAAACCTCTTTTCTTTTTCTTTTTCTATCTAAATAAATTTTTTTACTCAACATGTGAACAAATATTTCATACTTCAAACTATTCATCTATGTTTTCATGATATGTGGATTAATATTTCATATTTTTATTTTAAAATACATATCTCTACTTTTTTAAAATATTAAATTTAAGTTTAATTTGCTTTTAAAAATATTTTATAATATATTCATGCTTATATTATTTTATACATAAAATTAGAAATATAGTTATGTTATATTTTATAGTTATAATCATCCCATGGTTCGACCACAATCCGAAGAGTAGGATAGATGAATGAAAATATTCATTAGTTGTCCAGTGCTACATGGAGAAAAATTGGTTCACCTGCTTTTAATATCGGAAGTCTTGGGCGACCAGGTCCCTGCCAGTATTTTTCGCTAACGTAGTCACGGTTTAAGAAAAATAAATAAATATTTTAATTTACTATATTATATATATATATATATATATATATTGTGAAATGGCGCATAGGTGACATGCGTGTGAATATGGTATATATTATATGGGTGTATATAGTGGTTTGTACGTGTGAGCCATAGTATGAAAATTTCAGTTAACTTATCTGATTAAACTATTAAACTAGTGTCTGGAATGTTTTAATAAAATTGATTTGATCACAATTCGATTATGGTTTTAACCATTAATTCTTGAGTAAGTGCCTTCACTGATTTAATGATCAGTTTGATTTTTAGTACTTAATATGAGAATATAGGTATGTTTTAAAAATTCCAATATAATGCTATATGATAAGCTGCTTTCGTTTCGCTATATATATTTCAAGGTTAGTGCAACTAATTAACATTGCTCCGTCACCTATCAACACCAACTATGACATCTGATCTGATATTCTATAGGGAGAATAACACATAGGGTCCTAAGGGACCAATTAATTTAACTTATGTCCTAAGCACCAAACTCTAAGAATTTATAAGTTTGGTTCTTAAGTTTGCAACTTTGTTGTGATAAATTTGTAATTTGTATTTCAAATTTTAATAGAAAAAATAAATTTATTTATTCTTAAATCATGTTAAAATTTAAAAATTAAGTTGCAAATTCATCAAAACAAAATTGTAAAATTGAGAGTCGAACTTGTAAATTCCTAGAGCTTGATACTTGAGAACTCAATATTAGTCCTTTTGGGACCTTTGTCATTCTTCCTATTCTACATGTTCAAAGATGAATTACAGCATATTTGTTTTTCATTAATGACCCGTCAATTGGGACAGCAATTGATGAGTCCATATGGTATAATGACATCCTATGCATATATCGCACTAACCATCAATCTTCTTACTGGGAAGACTTCGATATAGGTCATCGAATCAGTTTACCTTTATATATATATATATATATATATTCCTTTGAATCTATATTTTTCAATGCACACACAAAAATTGATTTTAATTCTGGCTTAAATTCAGTTACTTAATTAGTGTCTCAATTATAGTCATTAAATTTCATTAATATTTGAAAATTATTAAAATATTTTTTTCTAAAAATTCAAAACAATCCTCACGATTAAAGCACTTCACATTTGATGTTTCCTTCAAAAAATTCAAGATTTTAGTACTTTATAAATATCATATGACAAAATCTCTTATAGCAGTTAAATCAAATAGTTTTTATCATGCAACGTGAGATACTCATTGAATGAGTGGACTTAGACTGTAACATCCTAAATTTCAATCCAAGAAATTAGTTGATAATTAGGAGTGAATTAGTAAATAGTGAATTGATTGTGGTTTAGATGTTGAGTTGGTATTTTGTATTCATTAGTTGTTATGTTAATAGGATTAAATAGTAGAATGGCGGTTTGGGACACAATGCGCGAGCAGCAGTGAGAGTTTTCTCACTGTGCCACACACCGCCATAGAAGCTTCATGCACCACGGCCTAAGGTTTTTGCTTAAGAACTAAGTCAAAACTTGTGAAAATAGAGGGAAGGAGAGATAATGGATCTGGAGAGGAGGAGGAGTTCATCTCTACTAGAGCACGCATTATCTGGCTATCAGGAGTTTACTTTGACTAGTGACTTGTCAGGTAAGTATTGTACAATCGTGAGCTTCGTTTCTACCCTACTTTTACTAAGTTTGATCGGTTGAGAAATCAAATTAGAAAGTTATAAGGTGTTGGAATCTAAAAGAAAGGTTTTAAAAAGGGCTATCGAATGTGAAATTAAGGTTTTGCAACTAGTCTAGAGAAAAATGGTTTAGATTTGAGAGTTTAGGCTCAAATTAGCTTAAAGAATTAGGTTAAAATTGAGAAAATTGGTAAATAGGTGAATTAAAAGGGTGATATGGTCATTCGAATAGCTTATAGGGCTAATGACTAGAGATAATGGACTATATGAATTCAAAAGATTTTAATGGAACTATTTTGTGTGTTAAGGAATTTGGTTTAGCCAAATCAATACTTATACTGAGTGTTGAGAATTGACTAAGGGATGTTATATTGTGTAGATTAAGCATTCGTGAAGTTGTTCGTGAGAATCTACACCCCTGAGAGCATAGTGTGATTGGTAACCTTTGATAACAAGGTTAAAAGGTAACTAGAGTAACCATTTTACTTGTTCATTTGTGAAGTTATTTACAAATATTTTGTATAACAGTATGCATTATGATTTTTGAACTGATAAAGTAGCAATATAGTGAAAGAGATATATATGTGGGTGTGTGAGTAATGTATGAGATGAGTGTGAAGAGACACATGCATAGACATGTGAATTTTATCCATGAGTATACCTTAGACTAGGGTAAGGGATCACGGCCCTACTTTGTGTAAGTCTAGAAAGTCTTAAAGATCTTAAGCGTAGAGTTAACTTCACCACAATGGATCTAGGATAACAATCCATAAGTATATCCTAGACTAGGGTAAAAGGTCATGGTCCTACTCTGTGTAAGGCCAGAAAGTCCTGAAGGTCTTGAGTGTAGAGCTTGACTTTGCCAAGAACTCCATCAAGAAGGACTTAGGAGTCCACCCATACACAAAGAGGATGCTTGGTCTAAGATAGATGTAGGATAAGCCCTATTTCATGTAAGACTGGAGTCCTGGTCTAAGCATAGAGCTTACTTTGCTAGGTGGAACCAGGAATGCAAGAACATGAGCATGATGGATGGATATGTATGAATCTTGTATATGCATATTATACTACTTTTATTGAAACACATGCTACTTTATCTCTTATTATGATTTTGTTTACTAACTGGTATTTGGGTTATATTTGAGTTACTAGGACACATGTCTTACTTCGTTAGTTTTGTACACAGGTGAAGAGAGCACAACAAGGCTGAGAAAGAAAGCGAGGAAAGAATAGCCTCAATTGGTAGTAGTATGACCATTTGTATAAATGAATGTATAATATGTTGCTAGAGTTGAGTTTCTAACTAGGATGTATATGTGTATGTAAATATGAATATATGAATGTGTATATTAATTGTGGTTGGAAACTTTCTTGTATATATATGATGTTGCATCTCATTGAGGGTACCACAGTGATGGGTACATGGGTAGGTCTAGATGCCAAACAAGCAAATGTATGTTATTGTGTAGCTTATTCCACTTATATGAATGTGAATTGAATGTGAAATTATGTGTATATGTGAAAACTTGACACAAATGGTGAGATTAAGCCTCATTTGAAAGAGTTAAGCATATTTGTGTTTCCTGACCATATGGTGAGGTGTAATCCCATATGTAAGAGTCGGATGATTGAAAGTTGAATAAGTTTATGTATATATGTGTTATATAGGTTATGCCTTATATAAGTCCACAAGTGTGTAATGTAACATTGAGAGGTCAGATTGAGTATTTGATGTGATATATGTGAATTGATATGTTAATTAGGTGTATATAGTCTTTTTAGACTTCGTTCAAGGCCTAAAGTAGTTTAATGGGACAAGAAATGAGAATTAAATACTTAAAGTGCAAGTTTTAAAAGAAAAAATAGCTTTTTGCACTCACGTCCAATTTTAGATTGGACTATTGGATTGTGTTTAAACTTATCTCATTAGCTAGAATATGTTATAAGATTCGTGTGGGCACTTGAATCATTTCAATCAAACATTGGATGTGAAAATGATGTGCAATGGAAGTTTGTCTTCCGAACTGTCTTATGATAGGAAATTTTACTATCATATGCATGCGACACATTGTGTGCCACATAGCAGCACATGGCATAGAGAAGAATAGAGCACGTTACGTTGCTCTGTATCGTTGCGTATGGCACTTTTTTATGAAAAAATATTATGTTTCATTGAATCTTTGAATTATATTTACACATTTTACCTTCTTATTTGAACATATGTTTGATGAAATCAAGATCTCGCATTTTGAAAAC